TTTATTTTATCTACTCGATATTTTCTTCCATCTAATACTCAAAGTGACCGGTTGACGATAATATACTCGGGTGTGTTACGTGGGCCTAGTTGCACGAGTGGGTCAATTTTATACTTGAATTGGCCTGTAGAATACGTGTCTACCTACCTCTTCTTAAAATATATACTGTCGTGAGTGTATGTAGGTTTCATCGACAGCCTTTAACAGTCCACTGCTGGACATAGACCTCTCCTTAAAAAAGGAGGTTTTGCACTATTATACCACGCTGGCCAGATGGGTTGCTATAGTGTTTGTGATAAGTCTTCTTTCTCTTTTCAATACTGTTGTCCTGTGTAGTTGGCTCCCTTAGTCGTCTCTTCGTTTATATGTATGTGTGTATGTAAAATCTTTCAAGGCCTTTGATGAGACTCCACGCGGGTGCTCTGTGCTTTGAGCTCCCTGCGATCACTCCTACATTATTTGTTTATCATGCTAAAAACCACTAATTTAGTATTATTTTTATTTACTTATTTATTATAAAATTTACTTAATATGTAGTCATTAAGAACAATATAAAAAGATTTCCATCTTTTTATTATTGATATAAAAGGAAATTGCGACAAACCGGAACGGAATTCAGGAAGGAACCGTCGCCGCTTCGTGGCTTGTCCTGAAACTTTACTTTCTTTTTAATTTGAAAAACTTTAAGAACCCATTTTGCCTGGAGTTTTCAAAGTTATCGCTTCCTCAATATTCTAATCGATATAAAAGTAACAACTTAGTTGAATTTGGCTTAGAACTTTTTCCAATTTATTTTATCAGAATAATAATAATAATAACTCAACACGGTCATCCCAAACTAGACAAAACCTATGCAATGGTTTACCAGACTGCAGATAAATATGCTTAAATACATACATAATTACATAAATTATGCCCAGGCAAAACAAATGATAGTGCTCATAATTTTTTTTTAAAGACCTCTCCCGCACTAGGAATAAATCCTGTGTCGCTGGAGAGTTTACAAACATATATGAAACGTATACAAAGAACACCCAGAATCAGAACAACAATTTGAGGATGACACAAAGTGTTGTCCCATGTGGGGATCGAACCCACAACATTCAGCGAAGTAGGAACGCTACGTAGGTTACTACGCTATCCGTGTAGTCAAATATTTGTCCTGGGTAAAGTCAGAGTCGTAGAGTAGATTACAAAATATTAGAAAAAAAGGTTGATTAAAATAGAGATCATTTCATAATTGAACATTATTAATGTTTTTATAGTTCTCATTAAAAAAAAACTTTTCTTTTCGCAAACATGCCTTGTGTGCTTGTCGCTTGACTAACCAAATAAGTTGCGCAAAAGTTCAAATATAAAAGCTCGCTCCAGCGAGTATTTTTAGACAAAACGAAAACCGGATACCAACCGGAAATAGAGAGAAAAACAACTGTGAAATATAGGAAATGTACAGGAGGAAGTCATTTCAGGATATTTGGTAAAGAGAGAGAGAGAGAGAGAAATTTTAGATACCTAAATACCTCTCATTAAAAAATAATCAAATCGATTGGAAAAAGGCCACATGGTCTCGGAATATATATTAAAAAAAAATCAAAAGTCACTTATTCTTTTATTCGTAAAAACATAATACTATGAGACGAGAATGGTGTTAGTCAATCAAAAGATAAGGAAATTTTTATAAAGGATAAGTTGGGAAGTAAAATCAATAGTTGAGAAGTAGTAGAAAAAGTAGTATCAAGTATATATCAAGTAATATACAATTTAGCGGAGGCAGCATAATAACAAATTCGGACTCACGATGAAGTGGCTGCGCATTCAAACCATACCCAGTAAACTAATAAACGTGAACTTCTGACACAAGCATAGATGCAACATTCAACAAGAATACTAACAATGTGAGACCTACATTGCTGGCATCCATATTTACAAATATATGTTTTTATATTCAGGATGAGGACTTGACACTAGCAAACATTTATGCGAACATACTTCGGCACAAATGGAATGGTTCGACCGAAGTGGTATCAGGGCCTTATAGAAAACCGGTGCTGAGCAATTCTTTTGCGGCTTTTCACAAAGTCAGTGAGGTTACCGGAGCCCAAACCATACCCCTTAATGGGGATTATAACTCTTGGGACTCTTGAGTTACATGTGTCAATGAGCGGCGGCGATAGCTACTTACCATCAGGTGCCACGTCTACTCCAATACCAAAAAAGGAAAAATGCATCAACTTAATTTAATTAAGGTCCATTTTCATTTGAAGAACGAGTTTCTAAATTTCAAATCCATTATTCATTTGTTGTGCCAAAGTTTTCTGAAATGTTGCATTTATTTTCCAATTTACGGTAAGTGTATCCAATTAGGGAGGAGCTCACCAGCTGTATGCTGTAATAAAAGTAATGGAATTTACAAAGTTGCGTTAAGAGAAAGATGAGTCTTAAAAGATATTGTTTTATTCTTATACACTATAAATGATACATAAATGAAGGTTTGGATCTTCGGTAAGTATTCTTCGCTCCTTAACGTTTTCTTTTTACCAGCACCGGTACTATTTGTTCTTCCAATTTAAAATTAAGGAAAGACTCAAATTAAGGGAAGACGCCAATTAAAAAGTATTCAGTCTAATTGCGAATCTGCTCCTTTTTGAAGTCGGTAAAAAAATCGTGGGTTCTTTATCCAATTTATGATTCTGTACAGTAGTTTGCTAAATATTTGACAAAACAGAGATTGTTGTCATTGTGTGTGTTGCTGTATGACGTTAGAGCCTACACAAGAGACGATTTCAAAATTTTTTTTTGTAAAATAAAGATATTTGAGTTTGATTCCTTAACTTATTCTGCTTAATTTGTGCGATTCTGCTTAATTTGAACAACAACTCGGCAATTATGGCCGGAGCATGGATATTTTATGGAATGCGTTAATTCAGTCAATTCCTTACGATAGCAAGCATGTAACGTGTTACATGCTATAACTTCAAAAAAATACAAATATGTATATTGTTAGATCACCACGAACAAATAAAAAAAAGAACTTGAAAATCCAAATTTGAGGCCTACATATTAATGTTTTATTTCTAAAGCTTTTTTTGTACACCCTAAGATCTCTACCATGCATTATACAAACAAGAAACGAAACAGAGTATCTAGAAATTAGAAATCTAGCATATAGAAATAATAGCACCACAGGGAATATTTAACATCAATTTAATTACGACATTGCAGAAACATCGGTGAATATTCGGCTTTCGAGAGTCTCGCATTCATATCAGCGAATCATTAAAGAATCATAAAATGAAAAAAACATAAATCTAAAAAGAACTTATCAATTCTTTGTTGATTTTAGGGTAATGGTTTGGCCACTTTAGAGGTTATCTAATATAGTGAATACCCTAACTAATCTTGGGACAATTAAATGAAAGGTATACACGTGCTCACGTAAACTGGTTTAATTCTCGACTGTTAACGGCGGGCGCAGCCGCCTCTAGGTAAGCATATTTTGCTTACGCTTACTGAAATGTACACTTACATATTAATTATTACATATTACAGGAAAGTAAGTAGGTGAGATACGTTGTGTCCCTACATAGATCATTAATTATATAATAGACTTTTTATATAATACACATTAATAACTAACATTAATTATTAAGTGGAATCGGCTGAGTAAATTTACACAGAACTTTAATTAACGAAGAGGACTTGAGACCTTCGAGTTGTCGATCTGTGTGTGGTCTAAGTTATAACATGTAGCTGAAGCAAACACATATATAAGCTGCTTTGACTGGGCCTATATATTTATATTTACAAATATTAAAAAATATATTTTTTATCGATTTTTATCGATAGAACATTCACGATCATACGACGGAGAAGACATTTGGCTCTGCCTGCATACGAAGTGAATCTCCCCAAGGTTCGCTACAATAACTGGTCCTGTGCTGCCCGCATCCGATGGCTTCCCGCGACCTTCACCAGGTCGTCGGATCAGTTTGTGGGGGTACCTACTCACGCTTCGTCTTCCAGTACGTGGTCGATAAAATTTATACTCCTTGCTGGCCTCAGTGTTTTACTATACTACAAATCGTGATATTTTGCTATCGTTTTGTTTGACATCGCATGACTTGATAACAGACAAATGTTATCAAGTCATAAGTAAACAAGCATATCCTAAGCAAGAGCGCACTATTGTGGCTATTCTTATCACTCGACATTCGGTTCATAATGTTCAAACGCAAAACATCTATCTCTAGCGCATTTGATGTAAGTCAAATGTAAACCTTACATCCAATAACAATATATATCATAATTATGCATCAAACAATCAGATATGATTGGTCGGTTCTAATTCCTATGACTTATAACACAAGCCACTCCGGTAACTCAAATGGTACACTTCACAGTTGAGTTTGCAGGCGAATTTCCAGTTCTACCGCAAGATCCTGGACGGGTTTATTGCACAGTTCAACCGTTCATGAATATGAGGCAAATTTGCGTTTGTCACGCTATCGGACTTTACTTCAGTGCGGTTGAAGGAACCTGTTTGAAATGCCAACTCATTAATACTTTGAACTTTTCTTTCACGGCTGTATGATGACAAGAACATATAGATAGGCAATGTGTTTTAGAACAGTAGAAGTGGAGTGATATTTGAGAATTTTCCCAAATCGTTAAAAGTCTTTTCCTTTTGAATATGCCAAACACCGTCGGCCGTTTAAGGTTGTCCACTTTCCTACTCGCAATGTGTCCGAAGTATTCAAGGATTCTGCGGAGGCATAGGAATGATAGGCGATCTGGAACATCTAGCTCACTGAAGATGGATGCGTTGATGCGGTGAGCTGTCCAGGGTATGAAGATGCAGTCCAGAGCAGCAGTTTCCTTCAACACTATATCTCGAAGGCATCAATGCGCTTGCGGTCGGCAGTGTTCATGTTTCGACACTATACAGGAAGGAGGATTTGTGCCAATTTTATTTTTGTTCTTCTCGAGATGATACAGAACTTTCATATCAAATCCAGGTCAGACATGGCACTTTTAGCCACACCGGTGCATCTCCTTATCTCTTTTTCAGATGATCTGGTGTTGGGTGTGTTGGAGCCGAAGTAGATAGAATACTCGACCACTTCAAGTACTTCACTTGAGAAATCTGTAATTGCCAGTTTCTCAGTTCTGTCAAAATCTATGACTTTTGTTTTAGCCCTATTAATTTTGAGCCCCAGGTCTTTACTGGCTCTCTCTATTCTGTTCAAGAGAGTAAGCATCTCGCCTCATCTGCAGCTAGGAGAGTGGTGTTTGCATATCGGAGGTTCGAGAGCATTAGTTTATTAAGACAGAATATTTTAGGCATTAAATTCATCTATCAATTTATATATTAATATTGTTTAATAATAGTTGTAAGATTCAGACGCCCGATTCTACTAAATCGAAAATAGATAAGTAGTGAAACACTGGTTTATTTATGTTCTCCTTAGGTTAAAGTACGGCTAAAATATTCTAAATGAATCAAAACCCCATAAAATCAAAAAAGAAAAACAATTTCATTAAATAACAAAACAAAAACGTTGACGATCGAAACAACAAACAGGCGACTTATGCCACAATTGTTTATTAAAAAAGTAAATCGTTTTATAAAGATGTAAGAGCATTTAAATGGATGGCCAAAACTTTCTGTTTATTGAAAGCTTGCCTTCAATAAGAAATGTTTGTTTGTTATTGATGCCTAGAACTTCTGAGAATTAATAAAGGAACTCACAAACCCAACGTCGGTTTGATATTTTTGCGTTTATTTGTATTGTTCCTTCCTTTGTCAATAATTCTAATTGGTTTTATTGTGACATTTTTCAGTGACTTGCACCTGAAGTCACTGCAAATGACTATGACAGGTTCGTTTTCAGGTGTAATATATTTTTTTTGTTTGTAGAATTTATATGAACTTTAAAATGTTATTACAGTTTCTTTTTACTGTTTTTAAACATGTTCATGGCAGTATGATAATTGGTTTTTCTTCAATGAACTTTTCCTGACGTTCCTATTAGACATTTCTTTACAAAGGCAAGTAGAAATTTCTAAACAATACTGTTTCAACAGTATAGAAGTAGATACGTTTAGAAATCGAACTCATTAAACACGTTTAGACAAATAGCAATCATGGGATCTGCGAAATCAAGTAGAAATGACCTCAAGAAAAATATAATCAGTCTATTAATAACTAAAACCTTGTGATATGCATTATATATTAAGTTAAATTAATTTTATAACTAAGAGCATCTTTTGTCCTAATTGCGATCCTTTTTATTTCTATATTTTTGTAATAATATTACAAAACAATCCGTGTGGTGCGGGATTAAGAATACGTAGTGTCACCACCCCTATTCATCCCGTGGGTGTCATAAGAGCTGACTAAGGGAGCAAAACTACGCACAACAACAGCACTGCATAGAGAAGGAAAACTCGACAAAATCCCCATAGCAACCGGTCTGGCCAGCGTGATATAGTAGGCCAAAAGTTCCTTTCTAAGGAGAAGTCTATGACCAGCCAGTGGAATTCTAAAGCTGCTGATGGATTAATGAAGGAATGGAATAACAAAAGTTCGACTACAATTGCTGCAAATAATACAGTCTATGGTCCTGAACAAATTAACATACAAAGGTTACAATTAGATCCTTAGTAATATGAAAAATCTTGATCACCTTTTTAGTAGTCAACTGCTGGACATGGGCCTCTCCCTAGAAAGGAAGTTTTGGAATGACTTAATGAAAAATCTTCCGTGTATGAATCTATACTAATATTATAAAGCTGAAGAGTTTGTTTGTTTGAACGCGCTAATCTCAGGAACTACTGGTCCGATTTGAAAAATTCTTTCAGTGTTAGATAGCCCATTTATCGAGGAAGGCTATAAGCTATATATCATCACGCTAAGACCAATAGGAGCGGAGCACCAATGAAGAATGTTTCGAAAACGGAGAAAATTTATTACTATTGAGAGACGCAGACGAAGTTGAAGTCAGCTAGTTGGTAAAATAAAATACTTTAAATCAGTTAACGTTATGTTATCTCACGTCGTACGAAATCGGGACAAGTGACGTGTGTTCTTTGTTTCACAAACAATGACGTAAGCAGTGTTTGCAGCAACGGATGAGCCCAAGATCTTTTGTTTTGCACAAAGGTGAGCTTTACAACAACAGTGGCGTTCGCAAGTCGGTCAATGTGTCGCGTAAGCCCATTATGTTTCATTTATTTCTATTAGGATAAGACTGAGTTGGGTAGAAGCAATACAGCTAAAATTTAGAGTCTCCAAAACATGATTAACAATTATATTAGGTACTTGTCATATCTTTGATCTCGCGTTGCTGCAACCTGCGCAAAGCATATATTATATTTGGTATAATTATGATATAATTGACTGCATGGATGGCGCGGCGTAGTGGTTTAAGCGGTCACCTCGCCGCTTACTACTGGCCTGAGTGTTGTGGGTCCGATCCCCACACGAACACTTTGTGTGATCTACAAATTGTTGTTCTGAGTCTAGGTGTTCTTTGTGTCAGTATATATATAAAAAAAGAAATAAATAATAACGTTTAGTTGTAGAAGAAGTGTAGAAAACTGTCATTTTTGTACTATATTATATACGATATATCCATCTTACATAAAATCTTGAATGACTCATTTAATAGTACTTCTCGGTCGGTTAGACCTCAAGGTGCCTACTCCATCTGTACGTACTCCGCAGTTGTTTCGAATACCGACAAGCAATAATAATGAGTCCCAAAATATTCCACTGTTTCGAATGTGTAGACAATATCTATACTAATATTATAAAGCTGAAGAGTTTGTTTGTTTGTTTGTTTGAACGCTCTAATCTCAGGAACTACTGGTCCGATTTGAAAAATTCTTTCAGTGTTAGATAGCCTATTTATCGAGGAAGGCTATAGGCTATATATCATCACGCTAAGACCAATAAGAGCGGAGCACCAATGAAGAATGTTTCAAAAACGGAGAAAATTTATTACTATTGAGAGACGCAGACGAAGTTGCGCGGGTCAGCTAGTGGTGATATATTTGTCGACAGTCACAGCAGATTCATGGAATCCTCGCGCAAATTGAATGTACCTTAGTATAATTATTCCTCAACATACTTAGTTACATATTTATAACATTTGTATCTATGGTTTTTTTTGTAACCTCCACTTACAAGTCTGATACTATAAATTCTGGTGGTAGTAATTGGAGTACAGTTTTAGAAATTTTACCATGAAAAATTATTATAAGCACTGCTTGGTCTGTAATCTGTTATTGTACCTTGAACCTTGTTAATAAATAAGGGCAATATTATCTTTTAACAGCTCAATAAATTACAATATAATTTTAATCTATAATGTTATAAAAGTTTGAACAAGGGCAGTTCAAGTTATACTGGTCATTAAATAAAATTAAATATTATTAATGAGCTATGTTAAAGTATACAAATAAAAATACCCAAAAATATGTTATAACATATTGCAAGGGTTCTCGTTTTGTATATTTTGTATTATTTACACGGTTCAAGGGTTATTACTTCGTTATTCGTTCACTTTAAGAGTTAGAGGTATGATATTGTATGTAAGTGTCTAACTATTATTACTATTGTATTAGGGATAATAAAAGTTAATTTTCAATTTGCATATGGTTTTGGTTATAGCTGTTCATATTTTTAAATTACTATCTGTACCCTGCCAAGCTTCGCTGTGGTACATTGTGGCGCCGGTGTGAGCGGATTGTACATCGTGTCAAAGTTTTTTTTGATTTTTTTAAGCGTAAAATCAACTTAACATAACAATTTTATATAGATTTTAATGAATACATTGAGCTTTTCTCTTTTATTTTTGTGTGTAATAACACATATCCAAAAAGCCCGATATAAATGTCTACCTACATATAATATATTCTATTTCTATTTATTCTTTATTGTATACACTGAACACATACATATGTATATAAGTAACAAGGAAATGTCATGTACAAAGACGAGCTAATTCATGTCTAGGCAAGGAGTAGGCAGAATAGAAGAAAGAAGTATTCAAATTAGCTTAAATGGTCAATTTATCATAAGGGAAGCTAACAAAGCGTCTTAATAAATGGCTATAATTCCAAACAACTGCCTAAGTAAACTCTCGTGTGACATAATAAAATGGGTCACTTTTTATAACACAGTCCTGCCATAACAATATTAGGGCGGATACCGTATGGAGTGACGGGTTTTTTTCGCACAAACCTTTGACATGCTCCCGATATAAAGGGTTGAAGCTGTGTTAAAAAGTTATAATGTCACGTCATTTTCGCTTTAACAATGTTATTCGTTATTAATTTTTTACTTGGGTATGTCGAGGAAAGCTTTTGAGGGTAAGATTTCTGTGAAATGGGTTTATTGAAAAACAGGGACATCAAGTTTTAAATGCTACTTAATTAAGAACGAAACTCAGCGGCAGAATCATCGTTCCACACGGCAAAGTTTTCATCCTCATTACCCGGATAGTTGGCGCTCCACTACTGTATGCTTTTCGAGACACTTTTTGCCCCGCACAACCAATCTGTGGAACGGGTTATCGTCTGCGGTATATCCGGACCGATACGACCTTCAAACCTTCAAGAAAAGAGGGTAATCCTTCTTAAAAGGCTGACAACGCATTTGTGACTCCTGAGTTGCAGTCGTTCATGCGCGGCGATCGTCACTTTCCATCAGGTGATCCGTTTGCTCGTCTGCCACCCCTTAACATAAAAAAAAAATGATTCTATCATTGATGTTTAGGGTTTGTATGTTAAGGCATTAATTTTCTCTTATTTTTAGAATTTTAAGTATTCAATTTTATTTAGTTGTTTACTGTTATAATAATCCGCAAATATATAATCATTCATTTTGGAATCCCTACTAAAATTAAAAATGTAAAAGTAACTCTGTTTATCTGTTACGCTTTTCCAGTTAAACTGCCAAAGCGATTTTAATAAAATTTGTCTTGGAGATACTTTGATTCGAGAAAAGGACATAGGCCACTCTTTGCAACTATAATACGGGTAGATAACGGGTGGAGCCACGGGTAATAGCTAGTAGGTTATATGAATATAGATTATTACGTAAAGAAAATTATTTTACTCTTTTCGGAACTAATGTCTCACTTTTTGTACATATTTGAAAAATCTATATTTATATTTAGAAGTGCCTAGAGCGAAAGCTTTATATTTGCAAAAAAGTCAGGGGCTCGTGGCTAAATGGTAACCGTGAAGGTCA